TACAGAAACTATAAGATAAGAAAAACTGAGGACTGGCCCAAGAGCTCCAGCCTCTGAATAATGGGAGTTCCAGAAACAGAGAAGAGAGAAGGCTGTGGAAAGAAAATATCCCAGATAACTCTAGAAATGTTCCAGAACAAAGCAGCACAGAAAATGGGTACAAATAAAAAGATGTACCTCAGGACACTGCAATATGAAATTTCAAAATGTCAAGGATAAAAAGAAGATCCAACAAATTTCCAAGGAGGAAAGAAACAGGCTGCAGGAGATTCAGGAATCACAATGGCTTTGGTGGTCTCCATAGCAATAGAGGAAGCTGGAAGACAGTGGATGAATGGCTAGAAATTTTAAGAGAAAATTATCTCATACATTCATTCAACAAGTATAGATTGAATACCTACTGTGTGTTGAGTGCTAATCTGAACACTAGGGTGACAGCAGCAAAAAAAAAAAAAAAAAAAAAAAAGCAAATCATGTGCACACCAATGCTATTTGTACATAAATGTGGATGAGCAAGAAAACTCAAGAGAAAGCCAACAAATTAATTCTGTGTGTCCAGTGGTGGTAAAAAGAGAAAAGGAAGGAACTGGAGCAGAATCTGAGGGATAAAGGTTGCTAAGGGTGCTTACTCTATTCAGATGGAACAGCAGAGTCCTGGCAGGAAGCAGCCACTCAAACGGGATGACTGGGGAGAATCTGGAGTAGGGCACATGATAGGGAAATCAGTCAGGGATGGGAGACCCCTGAGACCATCCCCAGGACTGAGGAGCAGAGTAGGAAGAAGGGGGACCCAGAGATGAGCTGTAGGCTCTAGGGACACAGAATCAACAAGTCTGGGATGGTTAGTTTTGAGTGGGCTTAAGGGATACCCAGAGACCTGATAAGACATTCTTTCTGGATATGTCTGTAACGGTATTTCTAGAAGAGTCTAGCTGTGGGTAGGCATCATCCAAACCCTTGAGGGACCTAAAAAAAAAAGTAGAGGATGGGCAGGTATCTCCACTTCTCCTGCCCTAAGACTGCGGAGCTCTTGGTTCTCAGGACATTGGAACCTCCCTGGGACTTATGGTCCCCCTGGTCCTCAGATCCACAGGTCTGGGCCTGAAACTATATCACCAGCTTTCCTGGGCCTTTTGTTTACAGACAGCAAATTCCGGCTTCTCTGCTGTCATAATCACATGGACCAATACCTCAAAACTCCACATCTCTTTCTATATCCCATTGGTTCTGTGTCTCTGAAAACCCTAATATAAGACCTGTCAGATGGGAGACAAAGGGACATGACCTACCCTCTTCTCTCCCTCCACCTCCTGATGGTGACTTCCACTGGCTACTGACTAAGAACCAGCAGGTGAGAGAGCCCATGGATTGAGTCCACCAAGACCAGACTCCAAAGGCACAAAGCAAGTGGAGGGGAGTTGGGGAGTGGATCTAAAAGAAGCCAGCAGAAAAATCCAGCCTACGGCACAAATCTGTAGGAAGTCAGGGAGAGATCTGGAGAAGCATGTTCAGCAAGGGCAGAGATTGTGAGGTGGGACAAGGGTGTGGCTAAAGCAGATAAAGAGGCTGATGGTGGCAGGAGGTAAGATCAGAACAGGCAGTGGAGGGCCAGTTTGGTGTGGCTTTAAAAGCCAAGAAAAGAACTTAGTGCAATGAGTCTACTGAGAGTTTCCTGCTGTGCTCTGATGTGCATTGCACAAGTGTCCCTCCAGCTGTTATTGTATAGAGAATAAGACTGTAAAGATGAGCAAAGTCACAAGCAGGGACACCAGTGAGAGGTGATGTGCCTGAAATAGAGTGACAACAAGGGCAGGTGAGATGTGATAATATTTTGAAGACTGAGCAGACAGGATTTGCAGATGATGGGATATGGGGGTAAGAAAGAGAGAAGAAGCAAGGGTGACTCTAAGGCTTTTGGCCTGAGCTTCTTGCAGGATGGCATCGCCATTTACTGAGAGAGGGACATGGCTGAGGTTTGGGAGGAAATCAAGAGTTCTGTTCTGACATCTGAAATTTGAGACACTACAAGACAAACAGAGGTGTGAGTACACAGTGAGATACAGGAGTCAGGAGAGCCAGGGAAGAGGTGGATGCATATATAAATTTGGGTGGGATCAGTTTGTCACTGGTAGTTGATGCCATGGGACTGGATAAATTATCTGGGAAGTGAGTGTAGATAGAGAGGGGGTCCTAAGACTGAACTGAGGAGGTGCCATGAATGTTTGGGGTGGGAAAGGGAGGAATCAACAAGAAGACTGACAAGGAGCTGCTAGGAGGCAGGAAAAGAACCACAAGACAATGGTGTCCCAAAAGCCAAGTGAAGACCTCTCATGAAAGGACATCGAATGCTGGACTGTCCAGTAAAAAGGAGAAAACAGGGGTGTAAAAGATTGAAATCCTCGATTTCAATGGTAGGAAGTAAGTCAACAATACTTAAGACAATTCAAACAACAGCAGTGTATGCTTGTGATTTAGAAATACAAGGTTCATGCCAAAAGAAATAACTAAAGGTGTTAAAAACCGTTGCGTCTCTAGAGTGGGAAGAGAGCAAGAGGCTTATGCAGGGGCTGCCGTCTTTATAAACCATGGAATTTGTGGAATCTTTAAATTACGTGCCTATACAACTTTGAAAAATGTTAAGTTTTGAAAATAATAAAGGTACTGGTAATATTTGTACCTCCTTTTTAAAAACAGTCCAACAATACAGAAGGGAGTCAGATAAAATGTATATTCCTCCTCCCTCTGCGCTTTATCTCCCCAGCCACTACTTCTTTCTGCGGAAATGTCCTCTCTCACAGATATAGATGCAGATATAGATACATAATACAAATAGAATCAAACCACATACAATTCTGCTCAACTTATTTTTATTTCAAGTACCACAAGTATCTTTTCAGTCATGTACAGTTATGCTTTTTTTTTTTTAAGGCTGCAGGGAGGTGCCAGAGTGGCTCAATCAGTTAAGTGTCCACCTCTTTTTTTTTTTTTTAATGTTTTACTTATTTCTGAGAGAGAGAGAGAGGCAGCGTGAGCATGGGAGGGTCGGAGAGAGAGGGAGACAAAAATCTGAAGCAGGCTCCAGGCCCTGAGCTGGCTGTCAGCACAGAGCCTGACGCAGGGCTCGAACCCACGAACCGTGAGATCATGACCTGAGTTGAAGTCGTACACTTAACCAAATGAGACACCCAGGTGCCCCAGTTAAGTGTCCATCTCTTGATTTCAGCTCAGGTCATGATCTCATGGTTTGTGGGATTGAGCACTGACAGCACAAAGCCTGCTTGGGATTTTCTCTCTGCCCCTCTCTAGCGCTCTCTGTCTCTCTCTCTCTCTCATGCTCTCGCTCTCACTCTCTCAATATATAAATAAAAACTTTAAAGAAGGAGGCGCCTGAATGGCTCAGTCGGTTGAGCATCAGACTTCAGCTCAGGTCGTAATCTCATGGTTTGATTGCTGGGTTTGGGCCCCACATTGGGGTCACTGCTATCAGCCCAGAGCCCGCTTCAGATCCTCTGTCCCCTTCTCCCTGCATCTCCCTGCTTGCATTCTCACTCAAAAATAAACAAACATTTAAAAAACAAAAACTTGGGGCACCTGGGTGGCTCAGTCAGTTAAGCATCCAACTTTGGCTCAGGTCATGATCTCATGGTTCGTGGGTTCGAGCCCCGCATCGGATTCTGTGCTGACAGCTAGCTCAGAGCCTGGAGACTGTTTCAGATTCTGTGTCTCCCTCTCTCTCTGACCCTCCCCTGCTCATATTGTCTCTCTCTCTCTCTCAGAAATAAATAAAACATTAAAAAAAGAAATAAATTTTAAAAAGCATTAAATAAAAATCAAAACTTAAAAAACAAAACAAAAAAGGCTGCAGGGTGTCCCAATCCCACAATGTATCTTTATCTACTTACTCAGCATCCTATTTAAAGAAGTTTATGTTGTTGGGGCATCACAAAGCTGCAAGGAACACTCCAAAATATAGGCCTTTGAACACCTGACCAGCATTTCCACAGGATAAATTTCTAGCACTGAAAGCACCGGGTCTAAGGGCACACCTGAGTATTCTACATTTTACAAATGCACTCTAAAAGACTGCACCCATCTATCCTTCCACGGTGCCATTATTGGGTATTTTTACTGAAATAAGCCCAGTCTTTTGCTGTTTTAATCTGCATTTAAAAAGATAGATAATTAGCATCAGCATTATGTTATCATTTTATGAAATGAATTAGACTTGCATCTTTTCCATATTTCCCTGTGTTCTAGAATCCATCTGGGAATTATTTGTTCCTTAAATTTTCACAAGAATTTACCCATATAGCCTCCTGAGTGTGGAATCTTTATGATAGATAGTTTTTAATAGGATTCTCATTTCTTTTTTTTTTTTTTTTAAAGTTTATTTACTTTTTTTAGTAATCTCTACCCCCAGAGTGGAGCTCGAACTCATGACCTAGAAACAGTCACCTGCTCTTCTGATGGAGCCAGGCCACTTCCCCAAGAGTTCTCACTTCTTTACCTATCAGTGAAAGTGTCTTACTTCTTACCTCCATTTTCAGAAATTTCTGTTTGTTTCAGAAAATCATCTAATCCAGAGGTTTTTTTAATTTATCTGCCTATAATGAGCATACACTTACAAATGATTTCAACAAACTCTTGTTAGGTTTGCAAGTCTTGTCTGTTTTCTTATTTCGTTCTCGTTTTTTGGTTTGTTTTTCCCCTAAATAACCACTCCCTGTACTTTTTATTCTACCTGTTGTCCTGTTGCCTAATAAATTTATTCCTCTATAAGTTTCATTAATTTTTCCTCTGAGTTTTCTTAGGGCTAGCTTCTTTCTGGTTTTGGTACTTTTTCTAAGGAATTGACTATTCCATTCATTTTTTTAAAATTTCTTCTCAGAGTTGCTCCCCACCCCTGATATTCCCCACACTAGGGAACAAGGTTTAACAGTTTAATACAGATACCTCCAGGCCTCCAGAGGAGAATCTGCTAAATTCTCATGTCTTCTCAGCTGCCCAGATGACCACCAAGGGCCCCACCCCCTCTGCCACCACCAAAGCTGATCTCAATGTCGAAGAGGACAATGGGAGTTCGGGATCTTCACCTCTGAGTGTGGGAGCCACAGTCGGGGTGGCACTGGCTGGCGCTGTGCTCATAACAGCAATTTTGGGACTGGTTGTCTTTCTCAGGTGGAAGAGAAGCAAAGGTAAGTGGTTCTGGGACACACCCCTGACCTGTCCCCAAGTTCCCAACTAAATGTTTCCCACAACCCACCAGTATCAGAATGACCCCATTAAAAAATGCAGATGCCTGCTGGCCTTGAGGTCTGGGCTTAGGAATCTGCATTTTTTTTTAAATTGTTTATTGATTTTTGAGAGAGATTTGGGGGGACAGACAGAGAAAGAGGGAGACTGAGGATCCGAAGCAGGCTCTGTGCTGAGCAGAGAGCCCGACGCGGGGCTTGAACCCACGAACCGTGAGATCATGACCTAAGCGAAAGCCAGTCGCTTAACCGACCAAGCTACCCAGGCGCCCCAGGAATCTGCATTTTTATAGGTCTCAACAAGTGATCTCTGTGTGTGATCCAGTTTGAGAACCTCTGCTCCAGACCAGTCCCTCCCCACAAATCTGATCGTATTTTAGTTTTTTGTCTTTTGACTTAATCATTTCTCATCAATCCTCACCTTTTGGTCCATGGGGAGGGGAAGTTCCGCTCTGGGAAGAGTAAGGAGAGAGCAGAAGGGATAGGAAGTTGGCTCAGCAAAGTGAGCACTGGTTGAGGGCCTATCTTCCAGTGTCTGGCTTATAATTGAAGATACTAATGTAAATAAAGCATAGGTCCTGCTTTCAAGGAACTCAGTGGCAGTGACTGCCTCATTTGGAAAGAGCTGTGGTAGTCTAGAAGAGAGGAGGAGAATCATGGAGAGCTTCCCATAGGAAGTGACACAACAAAAAGTCTCAAAGAGTATAAGAGAATTAGCCAGGTAACTGGTGAGGGTGGTGAAGAGGTCACTGTCCATGCAGGCACGGGAAAGCAGTGGAGGAACTCTAAGCAGCTCCATGCTATCAGGAGGCTGGAGATGGGAGAAGAAATCTCCTAAATCATACCCAAGAGCCTCTGCTCCCAGAGGCAACATGAAGCAGTTTGCCATGCAGATACATCAGTCTGGGGTGGAGGCGCCCAAGGTGGACCAGGCCAGTCTAAGGCAGTGGCAGTGTGGGTGGAGGGAGAGAGCCAGACCCGGGAAGAGTTCAAGAGAGAAAATCAGTAGGACTCGTGATCAGGCTGGTATAGGGGTCAAGGGAGTGGGAAGAACTTGGATGAAACCACCCAGCAAATTAGAGAACACAGGAGGTCAAAGACCATGTTTGGAGGGGAATGATGATTCCTTAGCGGGGGACATGTTAGACATACCCGTGTGCATCTGAGCAGAGATGTTCATCAGAAACTTGGATATATGCATTGATAGCTGAAAGAGAGGACAGGGCTAGGGACATTAATGATTTACACCCCCAAGACCCTCCAATACTGATCTGAAATTCCTCTAAAGAAAGATTTCAGTGAGAGGAGATTAGCCCTATCAGATATTAAAGCGCATAGGTGAGCAGAATAGACTCTAGATTGCCTGCACTCAAATCCTGGCTGGGGAAACTCTAGTGCAATGGTTGTATTACTCTGTGCCTCAACTTACTCATCAGTAAAATGAGAATAATAATAGTCCTCACCCCGGGGGTTGTCATGACTATTAGATGAAATTTGTTGAGAAAAGATCCTGGCACAGAATAAGGACTATGTAGCACTAGTGCTTGTAATTATTAAGCTGCAATAATGAAAATGATTCGATATTGTCATATTAACACACAGATAAACCGATGGAATAAAACAAAATATTTCAAATACAGACAGGACAAAAACATAACCAAATATACATGAGATTTTAGTAGGTTAAAAACTAGTATTTCTAATGAATGGGGAAAGATGACTAATTCAGTACCTAGTGACGGAACAACTGAGCAGCCATCTGAGAAAAAAATGTTATCTTATAATTTGCACCAAAATAAATTCCATGGAGATCAACCAAAGAGTTAAAATGGGGGGAAAGAAGCCTAGCACCAGAAGAAAGCATGTGAGACTATTTTATAACCATGGAGTGGAGACGATCTCCCTAAATATGACATAAAACCTAAGAGCCATGAATAAAAATATTGATGAACACAATGATGTACAAAGTGTTTTTAATTCTACAGAGAAAAAATCAGTGGTTGTCTCTAGAGTGAGGATGAGGGATGGAGATGAAGAAAAATGTGACATAGTCACTGAGGAAATGGAAGACGGTATTTAAGAATTCAACTCAGGGGGTGCCTGGGTGGCTCAGTCGGTTAAGTGTCCGACTTCGGCTCAGGTCATGATCTCACGGTTCATGGGTTCAAGCCCCGTGTCAGGCTCTGTGCTGACAGCTAGCTCTGAGCCTGGAGCCTGCTTCAGATTCTGTATCTCCCTCTCTCTCTGACCCTCCCCTACTCATGCTGTCTCTATCTCTCAGAAATAAATAAAACATTAAAAAAAGTTAAAAAAAAATTCAACTCAGATGAGAAGCCATAAACTCTGTAAAAGCATCATCGCACATGATCATGTTTTTCTCCATGCAGGTTAGAAACTTCTGGGACTTGTTCATTAGGAGTTATGTTCACCTGTTGGCACCAGAGACCAAAAGTAACAGGGCTTAAATAACATGGAGTTTATTGTTTTCCCTCATATAAAAGGATGAGGAAGCAAATACCAGAGGTCACTGCCAGGTATGCAGGCTTCTATCTTCCTGCTCACTGTCCTGGCTATTGGCTTCTATCCTGAATATTGCCTCATGATCCAAGAAGGTTGCTTAGACTCCAGCCATTATTTCTGAATCCAGACAGGAAACAGGAGGAAGGAAGGGGCAAAAAAGACAAAAAGACTATGCCACAGCTATCTGTCCTCCATTTAAAGAGTCTTCCTGAAAACCTACCCACAACTTTCCTTTGAATCTAACTGGCTAGGATGTAGTCCTATGTCCCACATCTATTAGTAGAGCTACCCCAAATAAATTAAAGTTCTGTAACTGAGTAAGAAGAAATGAATGGTGGGGCGCCTGGCTGGCTCAGTCAGTAGAGCAGGTGACTCAGCTTGGGGTTGTGAATTTAACCCCAATGTTGGGTATAGAGATTACTTAAAAAGAAAATCTTAAAAAAAAAGAAATGAATAGATTTATGTAAGCAAATAGCATTTCCTGCCATCAGCCACATCCGGAATTAGAGCTGTGTCAGCTAAGTGTGACATAAGGATAGGGGAACTCAGGCCATCAAGGAGCTAGTGAAAGGGCAGGAGTAGAGAGTAAAAGATCAGCAAGGAGCTTGAACAGCCCGAAAGAAAGTAGACTATTAAGGACAAGAGTTCAGGAGGTCAAAGCACAGATATAGCAAACAGGCTGATGGCAAAAGAGAGCTGGAAAGAAAGGAAATTGTAGCATAAAAATGACACTGGCATTTAATATTTCAGAGTTCTCAGTCCCAGGGATTGAGTCCGGGGTATGGCTAAGTGGAGTGGAGGTCACTAGAGTTTGGGGGACATAGGAGTCCCGTGTGTTCAGAGGGTTGTCCCTGTCGATGATGGGACCTCCCAGGATGGTATTGGGTGGTGGAGGGGATGTCTGTGAACCAGGGGCTGATCCTTGGGAAATGTTGTAGACAGACTCAGAAGGATGGAAGGGGAAATGGTGGCGGAGGGACAGCAGAGGTTTCAGTGGTAGAGGCTGGAGAGGAACTGGCTGCAGTGCAGACACAGATTCCAGCCCTGAGGTTCAGGAGGTGGGAGAGAGAAACATGGAAAGCCAGTGTATCAGGGCACAAGGGAGCTGTGAGTCTATAACAGGGCCAAAGGAGGGGGTGGGTGGGCCAGGGCTCAGCAGTGGAAGGAGCAGGTTGAGGGATGCGTGGGGAGTTCAAGGAAGGGGAAAGGAAGCAAAGGGAAAGGCCAAGAGGAGGGTGGGAGAGAAAGTGCAGGCAAGAGCTTCTCTCTTGATTTCGTGTTGATGACTACCACGGGACAGGGTTGGGCAGCCTCAGAGTACCAGCAGGTGCCACCTGGTCCCAGCAGGGTGCAGCAGAGCTGTTCCGCTGCCCTGACCTCTCAGAGCTCACAGAGCAGGAAGGCAGGGAGGAGAGATGCCCTCTGTGGATGGCATTCTGACATGCTGCTGTTCCCCTACAGGTCTGCAGACTAAAGCCAGAACTGTAGCCGGGTGAGTAGTTGTCCTGTTTGGGAAACAGGAAGTTCCTTATGGGGACAGCAGCTCTCCTCCTCACCTTCCAGTGGGCACCTCTTTTCTCAGAGCCACTTCCCTCCTCAGATTCTAGCCTCACCTCCCTCTCCTCTGCCACCAGGCCTTCTCCCTCCCTCCCTCCTCTCCAGAGCTCTCTTCCTCCTCACCCTCCACCTCCCCTTTCCTCCAGCCCATCTTCCCAACTTCATTCTTTCCTTCCCATCTCTCCCTTCCCACCTGGGCACCAGCCAAAAGACCACCACCACACTTCCAATGGCTCTCCTCTGGGATGATCCACCTTCAAGGGGACATAGGGACCACTACTGGCTACACTACAAACTGCCTCTCAATCTTCTCCCAGGAGGCCTCCTGAGAGCCTCAAACCTTGGCTCACTTGAGAGTGTCAGTGGGTTGCAGAGCTCCCACAGAGGTTTGAACCCACTTCTGCCCTGTCCCTAATGCACTTCCCGCCCTCTCCTTCATAACAGGGGTTCGGTCCAAAACACTGAGGAGAAGTATGAGAACATCGGGATTACAGGTAAGTTACCGCAGTGGCACTCCTCCCTCTCCACCTTAGTCCACTCTTCCCCACACACCCCCTGCCCACATGAGTGCCCCTCAGCATTTTCCTCTTTTCCCACCCCACCCCACCCATCCCTCCAGCCTGACCCTGGTCCTGACCTACCAGATGACCTCATTCCCCCTGAAGCCCCTGCTCATCTCTCTGCCCTGGCTGGTATGCCACCTAACCCTAGCACACTTTGATTTTTTCCAGGACGACAAACAGAGCTCAAGCTGGACCCCAAGGTAAGCAGCTCAGACTAGGGCCTGAAGGAATTAAAAAGAAGTTTGGAGAAGGTGGGATAGATGGAGTAGAGGAACTGCAGTGTTGGTGGAGCACTCGGGTGTGGGGTTACTGCTCTAAGTTGAGGACAGCTCCCCTTTACTCACCCCCTTCTCCTTCATTCTCGCCAGGGTGAAGCCCAGGGTGATGGTGGCATTCTCTATGCCTCCCTCACCTTCTCCAGCTCATCACCAGCAACCCCTCCCTGCACCCCTCCCAATGAGAGCCCCCAGGAAACCCTGTACTCTATCATAAAGGCCCAGTGAGTGGGACTCAATGGGGACTCCCTGAGACTAAGCTGCATAGAGGATCATAGCTTCTGGTAATAACCTGGGCCAGACACAGACAGCTCAGAAGCCAGTGGGTATGGAAAGCCACCCAGGATCAGAGAGAAACAGAGCCATCTGCTTCCATTCCCTCTTCAACTTCCCAGCCTTTGCCCACAAAAATAAAAGTACCAGTAGAATTTGCCTGAAGGCACCCAAGGAGAAACTGATGGCACCTCTGTCTTTTCCTTCTCACCCAAACTGAGCTATTAAGAAGTAGCTCACACCCAGGATACCTCCTCCAATGCTGGTGTTCAGTGACTTCCTCCAGGCAGGAGACACCAAACACTGGCAGCCAGCGCAGAGCCCAGGGTCTGTCCCCTAATCTAACCTTTCTACTTCCACTACAGTAACAACCGACATGTACCCATATGCCATGTTAAGTGCATCACTCATGTAAGCATCACCAACAACCTTATATGGTCCTGAATCCACTCACTGGAGGCATAAAGAGAAGACCCAGAATGGTTAGTGCTTTTCTCAAGGCCACGCACTTAGTAAGTGGCTGAGCCAAGATCTGAACGCAGACCTGCCCTTCTCCATGGCCTCCTCCCAGGACTCAGGTCTCACTGCCTTCCCAGATCCCTATACTGTGCTGGCCTCGCACCAGAAACAGGGACTTGCCACAGGGACCAGAGGGGAGGGAGAGATGCCAAGGGAAGCATGTGGTTAGAGATGAACTGAACCACTTAAGCTGATGACCTGTTTTATTAACACATAAACTGCACAGCCGTGACTTTAGCCAATTGACCTGTAGCCGACAAACCCACACTTAGCAACTTCTCAGGGACCCTCTGAGGGGCTCTCTCTGCTGCTCCTATGGAAGCGGATGAGAGAGCAGCAGGAGGCAGGAGCACACAGCTATTCCTCAAAGAAGGCTGTGGGGAACTCCCCAGCGTCCTCTCCACATTGCGGCTCCTCCAGCTGCTCCGGCTCTTCTCCAACATCCTCCAGGAGTTGCTCCAGGTCCAGGTCACTGGAGGCTTCATCGTTAGGAGCAACACTTCCAGCCTCCTGAGGATACTGCCAGCCTTCTTTCCCCACCATGGGACAGGCCCCGAGATGAGCTGGTGGGGTTGGGCCCTTTGGCTCCATCCTTGCTTCTTTATCCTCAGACAAGCTGGTTCCTGCAGGTTTGCTTTGGGGAGCTTCAAATTTTTTCTTAGAGCCTGGGTGGAAAAGCAGTAAAACTGAAAGCCCTATCAGGCCATCTGTCCTGACCTTTTACAAGTCAAACTCCAACATTCCTACTTACAAAAATATCTCTGGAAAATATGACCTTTCTCAATAGAAAGAAAATGGGCTTTGGAATCAGAAAAACCTGGATTCTAGCCATATGCTATCATATGCTAGTCATGGGTCTTGAGCAAATTATAAACCCTTTGGGCTTTAGTCCCCTTATCTCTAAAATGGCAAATGTCCAGTCACAGAGATATTGAAAGATCCAAGGGAACCAGCATAGCGTGTCTATCTAGCCAGCCCACAGCAATACTCAAATAAATGTCCGTTCACCCCTCCTCACCATTCTCTTGTCTTTGGATCAAATCAAACCAATAACCATTATGTTTCTACAGTGCGTGCTGTACTCTGCAATATGAGATGTCTAATTTTTTGTCTTTTTAAAAATAATGGAAAGTCGTAAAGTTAAGAAATGACCCAAGGAAAGGAGACATAGACTTGAACCTCATTTCCCACAGTTTTATCCACGCCTTGAGCTTTACCTGGCTGGTCAGGCTCTGAATTCCTGTGTCCTTCTTTCCTTCCCATTATGAGTACAGGAGCTGCTGCAGATTCATTTCCCAGAAATCTCTTCGTTGTCTTCCTTTGCAAGGTACCATCTCGTCCATCTGCTATGCCTGCATCACCCCCACCGACAACCATGAAGGACATTTGTTTACTTCTCCCTAAATGATAGCCCGGCAAGGGTCCATAGACTTCCCACAGTTAGTCTCTGCCCTGCATCCTCTGTTCATTCTCAATCTAGTGAGGTAGTTTTTGTTTTCGGGTTTTTTTTTTTTTTTTTTGGTTCCTTCCATTTTCCTAAATATTTCTCTCTCTCTTTTTATTCTGGATCTTCTCTTGATATTTTTCCTCATAGCCTGCCTTCTCCAGGAAGCCATCCTTCTTGGCTAAGAATTTAAGAAATTCACTCCATCTTTAACCTAAGATTTTATAATCAGTACACAGAAGCAAGGAGGTTATGGCTTCCCTGATGACACTAGTAAGAGTCTTGACTGTTTACAAATTTTAAAGTTGAGACAGGCAGTAAGATCTGGTGACCCGCAGACCCCTCCCATTGTCTGCTTCTGCCCTGCCTTAATGGTAGCACATACCTGTCCCCAGCTGTCTTGCTTACCTCTTGCCTTGTTTTTTTTTGTCTGAATTTTGGCTGGCTTGGGACTGGGCAAAGTTGAGTCCTGAGAATGGGAAAGAAAAATAAGAAAATATAAATGAAGTCACATAATTGTGTTTCTAATAGACTGGGATGCTATAAAAATGGGTTGGGGGGTCAATTGGATTCTGTGAGGCTGATACTGTTTAAATGAATGACAACAAAGATAAAAATGTTCATCCTTCGCAGGGCACCTGGGTGGTTCAGTCAGTTAACCATCCAACTTCAGCTCAGATCATGATCTCATAGTTTGTGAGTTCAAGCCCCAAGTCGGGCTCTATGCTGACAGCTCAGATCCTTAAACCTACTTCAGAGTCTGTCTCTCTCTCTCTGCCCCTCTCTTCCTCATGCTCTGTCTCTCAAAAATAAACATTAAAAAAAATTTTTTTAATGTTCATCCTTCTCATTCTATTTGATACTAGTCAGTACAGGGCTTTATGTACAAGAGAAGGAAATAAAGCTAGGCCATTAGCATGATGAAAACCGGTAAACTAGGGGCACCTGGATGGCTAAGTAGTTAAGTGTCCAGCTTTTGGTTTTGGCTCACATCATGATCTCATGGTTCATGGGATTGAGCCCCAAACAGCACAGAGCCTGTTTGGGAGTCTCTCTCTCCCCTTCTCCTGCTTACACACACTCTCTCTCTCAAAATAAATAAATAAACTTTAAAAAATGCTGTAATAGAAGTGAAGAAAATGCTTTTGATGGACTTATTAGTAGAGTGAAAACAGACAAGGAAAGAATCTCTGCACCTGAGGCTATCTCAACAGAAACCTTCAAAGCTGAAAAGCAAAGGTAACAAAGACTGAAAAAAATAAATGAACAGCATATCCAAGAGTCGTGAGACAACTATAAAATGCATAACATATGTGCAGTGGGAATACCAGAGAAGAAAAAAAGAAAGAAACCCAAGAAATATTGAAAACAATAATGACTGAGAAGTTTCTCAAATTAATGTCAGACACCAAACCACAGATTCAGGAAGCTCAAAGAACACCGAAAAGGATAAATGTCCAACAACTATACCTAGGCATATTATTTTCTTTTTTTTAATGTTTTATTTATTTCTGAGAGAGAGAGACAGTGTGAACAGGGGAGGGTCAAGGAGAGAGGGAGATACTAAATCCGAAACAGGCTCCAGGCTCTGAGCTGGCTGTCAGCACAGAGTCCAATGCGGGGCTCGAATCCACAGACTGAGAGATCATGACCTGAGCTGAAGTCAGACGCTTAACTGACTGAGCCACCCAGGCACCCCAGCCATATTATTTTCAAACTACAGAAAATCAAAGATAAAGTCCTAAGGATTAAGGTGCACTTGTTGTGATGAGCACCAGTTGATATATGGAAGTGCTGAGCCACTATACTGTATACCTGAAACTAATATTACACTATATGTTAACTAACTGGAATTTAATAACTTAAAAAAGAAAGAGCCCTGAAAGAAGCCAAAGGAAAAGAACACCTCACCTGATATGCTAAGGAAGGAGAGAAAATGGAATCATATAAGGTACGCAATTAAAACCACTTAGGGCAGAAAAAGAGTGGAAGACAAAAATAAGAAGAACAAACAAGGGCAACAAATAGAAAACAGTAACAAATATAGATATTAATCCAACTATAGTAATAATTACTGTGAATGTCAATAGTCTAGAAGTACCAATTAAAAGTCACAGATTATCAGAGTAGATTAAAAAACAAGACCCAGCTATATTTTGTCTACAAGAAGTCTACTTTATTATTTTTTTTTAATGTGTATTTATTTTTGAGAGAGAGAGAGACAGAGAGAGAGCCCGGGAGAGGCAGAGAGGAAGAGAGACAGAATCTGAACTAGGCTCAAGGCTCCGAACCATCAGCACAGAGCCCTACACGGGGCTCAAACTCACAACTGTGAGATCATGACCTGAGCCGAAGTTGGACACTCAAATGACTGAGCCACTCAAGAGCTCCAAGAAGTCCACTTTAAACGAAAGATATATATAGATAGATAGATAGATAGATTATAAAAGCAAATTAAAAAATACACCATGCTAGCACTAATCAAAAGAAAGCAGGAGTACCTATGTTAATTTCAGACAGAGCAGACTTCAAAACAAGGAAAGTTCTCAGGGATAAAAAGGGCATTACATAATGATAAAGAGGTCAGTTCTCCAAGAATTTTAACAATAGCGGAATACATATTCTTCTCAAGTTCACATGGAGCATTTGCCAAGACTGACCACATTCTGAGCCATAAAACAACCTTAACATATTTAAAAGAATAGAAATCATACAATGTCTGCTCCCAGACCATAACACAGTTAAACTAGAAATCAGTAACAGAAAGATAACTGAAAAATCTCCAAATACATGGAGATTAAATAACACACTTCTAAATAATAGATGAGTTAAAGAAGAAATCTCAAGAGAAATTTTAAAATATTGAACTAAATGAAATTTAAAACATGAACTAAATGAAAAGGAAAATGCAATTTATCAAAATTTGTGGGATATAGCAAAAGCAGTACTTACTGTGAGGGGAGTACTTACTGAGAGGGAAAGTTAGCACTGAACACATATATTAGGAAAGAAGAAAGATCTAAAATGAATAGTCTAGGGGTGCCTGGGTGGCTCAGTCAGTTAAGTGTCCGACTTCGGCTCAGGTCATGATCTCACAATTCGTGGTTTCGAGCCCTGTATCAGGCTCTGTGTTGACAGCTAGCTCAGAGCCTGGAGCCTGTTTCAGATTCTATGTCTCCCTCTCTCTCTGACCCTCCCCTGCTCACGCTGTCACTCTCTCTCAGAAATATGAAATGAAATGAAATGAAATGAAATGAAATGAAATGAAATGAAATGAAATAATAAAATTAGGGGCGCCTGGGTGGCTGAGTCGGTTAAGCATCCTACTTTGGCTCAGGTCATGATCTCACGGTTCGTGGGTTTGAGCCCTGCGTCGGGCTCTGTGCTGACAGCTAGCTCAGAGCCTGGAGCCTGTCTTTGGATTCTGTATCTCCCTCCCTCTCTCTGACCCTCCCCTGCTCATGCTGTCTCTCTCTGACTCTCAAAAAAAATTTTTTTAATAAATGAAATAATAAAATTAATAAGCTAAGTTTTAACCTTCAGAAACTAGAAAAAGAAGAGCAAGTTAAATCCAAAGTGAGCCAAAGAAAAGAAATAATAAGAATTGGAGAAGAAACTGATGAAATTGAGAGCAGGAAATTAGTAGAGAAAAATCAATGAAACAAAAAGCTGGTTCTTTGAAAAGATCAATAAATTGGTAAGCCTCCAGGCAAGCTAACTAAGAAAAAAGGAGAAAGGACACAAATTACTAAAATCAGAAAATAAAAAGGAAGTTATCACTAACAGAGTCCAGGGACATTAAAAGGATAATAAAGGAATACTATGAATAATTCTTTTCTTTTTTAATTTTTTTATTAAAAATTTTTTAAATGTTTATTTATTTTAGAGAGAGAGAGAGAGACAGAGCACAAGCAGGGGAAGAGCACAGAGACAGGGAATGTGAAGCAGGCTGCAGGCTCTGAGCTGTCAGCATGGAGCCCAATGCAAGGCTCATGAGATTATGACCTGACCTGAAATCGGACGCTTAACCAACTGAGCCACCCAGGCACCTCTGAATAATTATTTTCAAACAAATATGATAACCAAGAAGAAATGGGCCAATTCCTTAAAAGACACAATCTGACAGGGACGCGTGGGTAGCTCAATCGGTTAAGTGTCTAACTTTGGCTCAGGTCATGATCTCATGGTTTGTGAGTTCAAGCCCTGTGTCGGGCTCTGTGCTGACAGGTTGGAGCCTGCCTGGAGCCTGCTTCAGATTCTGTATCTCCCTCTCTCTTTGCTCCTCTCCCACTTGTGCTCTCTCTCTCTCTCTCTCAAAAATAAATAAACAGTAAAAAAAGAAACTTTTTTGTTTTTTTTTTTT